GGGGTGCTGTTTCTGCAGTTCTCATCCTAACCCAGTTCTCTCCTGTTCTCTCCCGCCCTTCTCCTGCTCATGCTCGTGGTCTCCGTGTCGCCCCCTTTTCCTGTGCGCCCTGGCTCTGTGGGTTTCCTTTGTGTGGGTGTCTCCCTCCTTCCCATGTCCCTGCCTCCCCATCTCTGTGCCGCCCCCCAACCCTCTCTGTGTGTCTTTCCTCTCTCTTGCGGGTGTCTGTCCCCTTGGTTTTATCATCTGTGTCCCCTGCTTCATTTCCTCCTGCCCCCTCCTGTTTCCCTCCATCTCCCCACAAACCCCCGTCTCTCCCCGGATTCCGACTCCTTCTCCCCACCTTCTCCCTCTCTCCCGGACTCTCTCCCACCAGTGGTGCCTGAGGCTACAAGCCCAAGGTAAGCTAGTGGCTGGGAAGATGGGGAGGAGGGCTGGCTGGGGTGGCCCCCGTTGACCCCTATTGTGACCCCACCCCTGCAGTATCTTCAACTCAAGAAGAAGTTAGAAGATGAGTTCCCCGGACGCCTGGACATCGTGAGTCTTGGGGGCAGGGGAGGGACTCACACGTGGGTCACACTGCCTGTCCCTCAGCCCTGCTGTCAGTGGGGTGTAGGGGCAGCCCACCCTTCACCCTCTTCCTCACCCCTGGGAAGGGTCGTGTGTCCCCAAGAGGGCGTCTCAGCCCCTCCAACATCTCTCTCCCCAGTGCGGCGAGGGGACTCCCCAGGTTACCGGGTTCTTTGAAGTCATGGTAGCAGGGAAGTTGGTTCACTCTAAGAAGGTATGTCTGTCTCCATCCTGCCTCATTTTGGGGCTGGTGTGGGGGAGGTGGTGGTGGATGGGGATGGGCTTGGCGTCTTGGTCCCAGCTCACCCCTTTCTTCTTCCTTCCATCCCAGGGAGGCGATGGCTTCGTGGACACAGAGAGCAAGTTTCTGAAGCTGGTGGCCGCCATCAAAGCCGCCTTGGCTCAGGCCGGAGTGCCCTGAAGGCGGAGGTGAGGGGCCCCGCTCCTAGACCCTAGAGGGGACCCCTGGTTCCTAATGTGCTCCCAACCCATGCGGCCTCCTGCCCAGTGCACTCCCGGGCCAGCGGCCACTGCCACGCTGTTCTCGGGGCCGAACCCCTGCCTTTCAGCACCTTCTGAGCCTGATTTCCAATTTCAAAGCCAACAGGTTCCGGACAATCCCCAAACCCCACCTCTTCTAGGACAGGGCCCCCCGTCCGGAACCCGGGAGAGCATAGAGGCATTTCTGCCACCCTCCAAACGCCAATGCCACCCTCCCCCCACCTGGTGTCTAGCACTGAGACCCCGACCCCAGTGCACTGTGGGCTCAGGTACCTGTGCCAGGTGCTTCAGCTCGAGTCCTGATAGAGAGCTCTACGAGGACAGAGTGAGGGCCCCAAAGTGGAGGGGGACGTGGACATTTCAGTTAGCGCGATGCCAAAGTGCAAAGGTCATGCCCTGTGTGGGTCTGAAATGAAGGGAGCCTCCCCTGATTGGAAACAACGACCAAGAGCCGTGTCATTTCAAAGCTGCAGGAGCTGAGGAGGTGTGGGCTGTTGCTGTCAGGAGAGCAGGAGAGTTGGGGGGGGGGGGGTGTGCCACCACATGGGACTTGAATACGTAATGACTCGAATGGAGCGCCTCCCATTGCGTAATCACACCATTTGTCGCTTCCAAACTGTGAGGAAGTCAGAGGCGTTGGCTGTGTCAGCCCGCGGTCCCCTCGGATCCCAGAGAGGTCCGTCAGGGGTGATTTCAGCTCCAGAAGCAGCAACGGGATTGACGTAAAGGAAGGAGAGAGGGAAAGAGTGATTGCGTGGTTTGTGAGTGCAAGGGGTCCCCAGACCAGCCTCAGGTGTGGCGATTTGCTAGAAGGACTCAGAACTCGGCGAAGCTGATCTACCCCGGTTACGGTTCATTATGGGGGACGGGTAGAGGCTGTCAGCCCAGGGAAAAGGTGCGGGGGGGGGCGGTCCAGGAGAGACCAGGCGTGAGCCCCCAGTGAGGTCAGGCTGACGACACTTAGTCCTCCCAGCAGAGGCGTGTGGCCACAGGCACGCAGTACTGCAGCCCGGGGAGGTCACCTGGTCCTTGGGGGCCAGTCATGCAGACATAGCGGAGTGCCGCCTGGTTGGCCTTTATTTCCCACCCCC